CCCCCAATATGTTACGCCCCGGCTTGGTGGGTGCAAGAGGTCCCGGGTTCAAATCCCGGACAAGCCCCCAATATGTTACGCCCCGGCTTGGTGGGTGCAAGAGGTCCCGGGTTCAAATCCCGGACAAGCCCCCAATATGTTACGCCCCGGCTTGGTGGGTGCAACATAGTGGATGACAACAAAACATTTAGCATATCAAACGTAGGATTTATTATAAAGCTAGGGGTTAAAACATACAAAAACAAAAAAAAAGACAAGGAAGTGGTAGTGAGCAGCATCTGCTGCTGTTCTGGCTGCCAGGCTGGAGAGAGAGAGAGGGTGGAGCCAAGGCAGACCTTTAAAGACTACAGCTAAATGAGGGTTCAGGGCAGGCTGGAAAACCTGGAACTGGAAGACAGGCTTAGTACAGCTCCATACATAACAAACGTGTATTTGATTTTTTTCTTTTTCTTTTTTAGAACAAAGATTTCCAATTTAAAACCGTATTCTTTGTTTATAACATTTATGGATCAGAATTCACTCCATACTACACATGGAAGATGGAGATAACCCACCAGAGCAGTTGATTTCCTCCTTGTACACGTTCACTTGCTGCAGGTCGATGGTGGGGGAGACGGGATAGAAGCTTTCCAGGATCTGATCCGACGTCTCCAACACTTCTGTTTCCCCGCACACCCGTGGCAGAGGATCCATGCTGCAATGCAGCAACCCGTTCTGACCTCTGACCTGGAACAGGTCATCACCTGAAAAGAAAATAAAAGAGCGTAAAGGATTTCATTCAACCCTGTTCGTTTTATTTAAACACCATTTTAGACCAACAGTCTTCGAGATTAAAGATCGGATCATCTACAGATATCAAATCTGATTCGACATGTCCAAACTCCCCCCCCGCCACCTCCAGGGCTGCAGATCTACCTCTTTTCCAGGAAGCTGCTAATGAATAGTTCTCGGCCAGGATCCTCCTTCCAATGGCTGGGTGAGTGGGCTGCAGGGTCGCGCAGAGGTGGAGCAGATTGTGAAGCAGAGTGTTGCTACAAAAAAAAGCACACAATGACAGATTGTTTTATGTATGTATGCATGTACACTACCGTTCAAAAGTTTGGGGTCACATTGAAATGTCCTTATTTTTTAAGGAAAAGCACTGTACTTTTCAATGAAGATAACTTTAAACTAGTCTTAACTAGTACTGTGGGTACTATTTAATGAGAATGCCAGTTGGGGACCTGTGAGGCGTCTGTTTCTCAAACTAGAGACTCTAATGTACTTATTTTCTTGCTCAGTTGTGCAACGCGGCCTCCCACTTCTTTTTCTACTCTAGTTAGAGCCTGTTTGTGCTGTCCTCTGAAGGGAGTAGTACACACCGTTGTAGGAAATCTTCAATTTCTTAGCAATTTCTGGCATGGAATAGCCTTCATTTCTAAAAACAAGAATAGACTGTCGAGTTTCAGATGAAAGTTCTATTTTTTTGGCCATTTTGAGCGTTTAATTGACCCCACAAATGTGATGCTCCAGAAACCCAATCTGCTCAAAGGAAGGTCAGTTTTGTAGCTTCTGTAATGAGCTAAACTGTTTTCAGATGTGTGAACATGATTGCACAAGGGTTTTCTAATCATCAATTAGCCTTCTGAGCCAATGAGCAAACACATTGTACCATTAGAACACTGGACACTGCAAAAAAGGAAGATCTATTTCTATTTCGTTTAATTCTGTGACATTTCTGCTAAAATATTAATAAAAAAAACGTTTTGAAGTTTTTGTCAAGTGTATTTTTCCCATACATTCACTGCACCTAAATAATGAAATTAATTCTAGCCAAAAAAAATAGACTAGTTTTAAGCCTTTAAATGAACTGGTATCAAGTACATTTGCCTTGTTTTTAAGCCTGCTGTATGCTTGTTTTGAGTTGGTTAGAGGACATTTAATTTTAAGCAATAATGACTAATAAATGAGAATAAATTGCTTAAAATAAGGGAAAAAAACTTAACAAGTAAAAGAAGAAATTGATTTTTCTACTTGATTTAAGTTTTTTTGGATGCTTACTACTTGGATATTATTATGTTCTTGTTTTAAGAAATCTTACCAAGTCTCATTTGCTTGCTGCACTGGCAGATTATTTTGCTCAAAATAAGCAATTATTCACTTAAAACACTATATTTTTTTCTTATTTTAGTGATAGTTGCTGGAAATGGGCCTCTATACACCTATGTATATATTGCACCAAAAACCAGACATTTGCAGCTAGAATAGTCATTTACCACATTAGCAATGTATAGAGTGTATTTCTTTAAAGTTAAGACTAGTTTAAAAGTTATCTTCATTGAAAAGTACAGTGCTTTTTCCTTCAAAAATAAGGACATTTCAATGTGACCCCAAACTTTTGAACGGTAGTGTATGTGTGTTAGTGTGTGTATGCATACTTGTATGTATAGTTTTTTCAAATTATCAGATGTAATTACCAAAACAATGTAATAAATACATGTATATTACACATTAACACATTAATTTTCTTGTGACTGGTTTGTATAATATGTAATATTACATGATTTTCATTGACTTCATACTGACTATGCAATGGGATGTGCCTATTTTTCTTTTTATTATAAGTTAAAATAATCTACTTACGCCATGAAACACCAAGTGTCCAACTGATGAATTTATCTTTATTTTAAAAGTCTTAATCTGCCCTGAAAACGAGAACGTCATTGTTGTTTGATGCTGTAACACAAATATTGTTCACATTTATACCTGTCTAACTAGGGACTACCAATATGGCGGCTGGTGGCTTTATTTGAGCCCCATACAATCATTGGGCTATCAGCAATCCAGTAAATTATTCAAACATGGATTAATCAAACTGTGCTGTGATGAAAGAAGGGAGACAAAGAAGCTGGCTGGAGTTCAGGAAGTGGGGAAGTTGAGCATGAAGCCCATTGACGTTGTCTAGCTTTCTGTCAGTTCCACTGTACTGCCAGCAGATGGAGCCATTTCTGTTTATAAAAGTAAAAAGAATTCTAGCACTGGGTACAATTTTGAACATTTCTTGACCAATTTATCTAAGTGGGAGGTTTATTTTCTTCTATTTAATTATACATTTCTATAGAAATAAAGCCACTCTTATGTTATCAGTTACTCCGCACCACATCCATTTTTATTCTAACTAATCCTCTTCAGACCAAAACAGTTTCCTGAAAGTTTCCAAAGGATTTAAGATTCCTGCAGCTTTAAATTTACACATAAATAATCAGAATGTGTCCCACTTTAATGAGAGACCCTACCTGTATTTCTCCTTTTTGGGCCGTGGTTCTGTTGTATCCCAGAACCGGGCGTGTTTGATGGCGTTCTGCACGCGCTCATCCTGATTCAGCAGCTGGTTTTCAGGCACTGCAGCCGGTGAGGTGATGTGAGAAGGCAGGCCGTGGATCAAACTGGATTTGGTCAACCAGAGAGCCTGACGCACACCTGAAACACATTATACATTTAAAAACTTTCCTTATTGATAAAGCTTATAGTTAGAGTGGCTCAGGTTATCCTGAGCTATCTCTATAGTTATGCTGCTA